ATCTCGACAATAGCTGATAATTCAATATGAAATAAATATTTAAGTTGAATTAAAAACAAAGTTATAACTTTGCATTCATCACCATTTCCCATACATTAACAAACCGGGTATGGCTATCCAAAAAAAAGCCAAAACATGAAACAAAATTACGATAAAACCGAATTAAAAGCACATTAATCTTAGCTACCACACGACAAATGTGCCCATTAGCACATTTAACAGACAGGAGCATCAACAGCAGCTCACAACTCACTGAAAACACAGTGCTGCTTGCTAACGTTAGCCTCACTCAGTGCACTGCTTTACCGCACCTTGCTGTACTTCCTCTGCGCGCAAAGGGTCGCACGAGCTGTCGAACGACAGGTAACAAGCCGAAGCAGCTGCGTCACCGCCATACCAAACACCCCTGCCTAAAACAACCGCTTCATTCACCATTACCACATATAACTGTCCCCTTCACTGCAAGCGGCCATAACACCGGAAAGAACGGGTTACTGGCAGCAGCGTTGACGTAAAGACTGAAAAGTTATGACGGAGCTCCGTCTCAGCGTGCGCGCTCCTGACATCTACGCCAGGGCGCGCAATTAAACGCAGGGGAAATAGAAAGAGCGCGATGGGGGGAAAACATCTCTAGCCTTCAAAAATAAAATTACGCACTGTCCGGTCAGGCGCTTCAGACTGGAGTCACATATGCTGAAATTTACAGGAAACAGCGCATGCGTCGACAGTTCTCGTTTGTGGAGAACACTGCAAAACGGTGTTTGACAGCTTGCGTGCAAAACAAAGTAATTTCAGAGAAGCACCGACCTGCTGCATCACGACGGGCCCACAAGCTGAGCAGCAGAATCGGTGCTCTTAGCTTCCCGAGCCTGCTGCAAGTGTGCATCAGTTTAGTGCCCAAAGTACAAGTTTATTTTAAAACACGGAGGGAGGAAAGATGAATACAGTTTGACTTTCACCGAAAACCACATTCACTGCAGCTCTTATTAAAATAAGGGACATATTTTAAACCCTGCCCTCTACAGACTCGCTGTCAAAAGCTCTAAATAATTTTAATTATAAAACTATTCACTGGCCGTTTAATTTTGTGAACAGACTTAAAAAGCTGAGAATATTAATAAACAAACCAGCTGATTCTGAAAAGGAGCGTCATTATATTTTGGATTTAGAAATTGTGGGTAAAACAACCCAACGGAGAGATGAAGCGGCTTCATCAAGGACGACTTAAAGACTACAGCAGCCGAAGTACTTCTGCTCTGCCGCTTGGGGGAGCTACAGCTCTATGAGAGAAATCTACTGGACTTTACAGTGTAAATACAGTTCATTCAGCTTTAAATTACCCCAGCAATTACTTGGTGACATCACCTTAATTAGCAGATTAAACCATATTATAGGTAAGGTTTTAAAACTGTGTTTGGTTTAACATCATGTCCATGTTAAAATTAGGTAAAAGCCTTTTGCAATTAAAATGCTTCACACGCCACATGTCTGTTGGCCTCTATAAGGGCAAAAAGTCGATCTAGTGTTTTCCCTAAAGGTTCAGATGTCTTAATAAGCACTGAAGACCTTACATTTCAGCTGTATGACATTTTAAAAGTTTTAGCAGCAGATTAACAGGAACAGGGGCCCTAATGTGTAGCAGAAAATATCCACAACAAGAATAAATTATCCTGCATCATGTTAAATTAAATGAATGTAAAAAATAATTATTTGCTGAACACTGTGCAGCCACTGTTTGGTCTTACTGTGGGCATATTAATTACACACTAGAGGTGAGTCATCACTCAGTCACAATGTCTCAAGTGAGCTCTGCAAATATGGTCCAGAAATAGGCACAGGGTTTTTAAATGAACTTGAGTGTAAAGTGTGGCTTTCCAGCAACAGTGTGTGGTGTAGTGTGCAAGCTTCTTTTTTTTTCTTCTTTTTTTTTTTAAACAGAATGAACCAAAACAACAACAAATACAGAAAATGGCAAATGGAGCAGACTGATTACAGTCTGTAAAGCAAAAAAAAAAAAAAAAAAAAAGGATTTGCCAATATGTGAAGGCTGGTTTAAGTCAATTCATTAATGCACTGAAAATGTTACCCCTCTAATAGTTTTGATCCTTAAAAATAATATCATAAGATATAGTTCCCCCCTTAAGTATGCATATATTCACTGTGACAAAAATAAAAGCTGCAGAATGTGTGCATGTTCATCACACCAGAAAAGATTGGACACTCAAAGGGCGGTGATATAGCATCATTGATGAGAACAGCAGTGAAAGCAGTTCAACTTATATATATATATATACACACACACACACACAAACAGGCTGGTAGTTTTGTCAGTCATTTTCAATTGGTCAAACCAAGTTATCTTAAGGTCACGAGGAAGGGACGAGAAGGTGAACTTGAAGATGTTTTACAATTATTCTGTGTGCAATGTGAACACTGCAAACTGATTATTAGCTGCTCCTACATGTGACTGTGAAGATAACAATTTACAGAGGGTGGTAACAGACGTATAAACATTCAGGAAAACACCAGTGTGCCAACGCTGTAGTGACAAATATGCTTTGTGGTTACATTTGGGTATATTTTTTAAACAATGTATTCAGAGGCTTTATGCAGGAAGGTTTTCAGCATATTGATAAAACTGTAATTTCACCACAGCTTCAACACACACTTGAATCAAACACTAGAGATGTGAGACCACTGCACCTCTGACTTGTAGAGGTAAACTACTACCAATGTATGAGAGAGGTCAGTATTATGGAAACAATTTCTGGACAAGAGGGAGCATTAAGGCCATCGTGCTAATCTTTTTCTTCGTTGTTATTTTACCTCTTAAAAGTGGTGAGAGGTGCACAAGTGTTTTAGGGTGAAGCCCATGTGAGCACAAGGTAAGCACAGACGCTTGAAAGCAAAAGCATGAAATTAGCAATATAGAGAAAAGGGCCAAAACAATTCGAAGTATTCAAATGAACCATTTTACATGCAATCCTAATTAGCTTAAACACCATCTGTGGGTTCCTACAAATGGAAAAGCATCAAGTCTACCTAGCAAGAAAGCACAGCTGAAAAACAAAGGCTTTAAATGTTAATGTAATGGTAGCTGTGCAAATGCATGAGAACAATCTGAAAGGTAAAGTCAAACAGCGCAATTCAAGTGATGGATAGTGACCAAATAAAAATACCTCCCCCTCCCAGTTGAATTGAAACTCTGGATTTTATTCAAGAGTACATATTGAAGCCTAGCAAGGGTGTGGTTCAAAGTCTAATACTCCCTCCCATCCCATCATCCACTACTGAGTATCTTCATGACTCAGTCTAATGTGAAGCGCGCACAGGTAGACATTTATATATAGGAAATAAAAATGCATAATTATCTTCAGCCTCCTCTTCTGTGCGGTGGTTTCGCAAAAGGAGGACATAAACACATGATAGGTAGTGGAGAGAAAATCTTCTGGGCTAAAGCTTATCCAAGGCCTCGATCACAGTAAAGACGGGGTGCGTGAACAACGATCACTGTCCTCATGTACAGAGATAATAGCTTTAAAAAAAATTTAAAAAAAAAAAAAAAGAGAGGGGGGGGGCTATGTCAACTCAGTCTTTATATTTACAAGCTTAGAAATATACAGTGAGAGTGACAGAAGGGTGGAAAAAGGTTGAGCAGAAGAATATTATTTACAGCGGGTAGTTTGGAAATAAGTCTTAATCTCACCTGAAACACAAATCACTTCAAATCTCTCTCTCTCTCTCATGGAAGAAGAGATTACTGTCATGAATTCAATCCGACATTTTTGTTTTTTTACTTTGACATTTTTGGGAAATGCAGTAATTCTTATTCATCTGTTAAATATGATGCAGACACAGATGAGCTTAGCAGAGTACAAAGACTGGAAGTACAGGCAAAACAGCTTGGACTTCTTGAAAAAAAAAAAAAAGTGACTTCTTAGAGTTGTGCTGTTGCTGTGAAATTTATCTCAGAAGTCACTGCATGCTCATTATCCCCTGTAAAAGGTCCGTTTTGTATGGGTGAAAGAAATGAGATGTTTTTTCCTGATCTAGCTTTCCAACTGTTTACAGTTTTTATGTTAAGCGTCATCTACAGCATGCTGGAGATGAGTGATATTGAGCTTCATTACAAAACAAAAAAGCCAACAAACGCATTTCCCAAAAAGCCAAACTACTGCCCTGTTTTTCCTCAATATCATGAGACCCATCTTTCTTTTATCCAGCATCTCTCTTCTCAGATTAAAAAAAGAATAATAATAATAATAATAAAAAAAATATATCACACAGGAAAACTCTGAAGCCCCTTTCAGACACGCTCTCATTTTCAATTATCTCTTGTAACTTGTTCACTTCATGTCTGAATAAGCATTCTAGTCACTTTTCTATAATTTTACTAAGTGGGATCCAGTACAGTGGTAATATTCACAATTGCGCTATATAACATAGACATCGTATTTTAACTGGATTAATTTACGTTTCCAGCCTATGAGGGAGGGGCAGGAATAGCCATCACTTGCTACAGCACAGACATGGACATAAATATAAAGACCCCTATTTTAGGGAACAATGGCTAAGATAAGTAATCTTCACAAGTCTGTGGATAAGACTTCAATGGATGCACATAATAATCCAGTATGGCAATTCCCATGTAGCTCGTGGTTATGTCCCTAAGCCATGAGGAACATTAACATTAAAAACAAAGCGACCCATGTCTGAATGACAGAATGCCGTCACTGTAACAGACGAACGAAGCCACCAGCATGTCTGAAAGGGCTGAAATGTAGTTTCATTTTTCTTGAACTATTTTGCTTTTTTCTTCTTACAGGTATGCAATTCCTGCAACAGAGCGAATGAAACTTGTGCACGGAGAATTGTTGTGGGGGGAAAAGAAAAAAGATTATTGGTTGTTACATAACAATCTGCACTATGAAACTGATAACCTCTTAGCTTTACTGTGCAGTGTTAGATGACTGGCTACCTGGCTGAAGCAAGACAATTTAAATCAGCTATTTACACACAACCTAAGGTAGTTTTAATTCAAGCTAATTAACAGAGTAAAGATATCTGGGCTCATACCAGCAGGGCTAACACACACACTGCACTGCTAGATGTGTGGCTTGCACTTCTCATTCAGCTTGTCGCAGATGACCACTTCAGTAGCGTGGGGGTAGGAAAGGCCTCTTCTGTGCATGCAAGGGACCACCTGTGAATGGAGGCCCGGGGCGCTTTCCCCCACGAAACCCCCCTATGGGTAGATCTTGATTATGCTGCTGAGGGTTTCGGCCTCGCAGCAGGGACCTCTGTGAGATGGGAACGGAGAGGATTGGAGGCCGAGGAGTAGGCAAGGTGAGGAGGGGAACAGGGTTAGGGTTTTGGTTGCGGGGCTGCCCTGGAGGACTAGCAGAAGGTTTCTGGAGAGGAAGGGCAGCGGACTGGGTAAGTGAGCGCGAAGGAGCAGTGTCAACTGCAGGGGAATTAGGTGTGGAGGGTGAGGTTGCAGATGATGTGGGAGAGGGAGACGGGGAT